GGTTCAAAGACCTTGGTGAAAACATTTTAGTGGCTTGAAAATACAATGAAAACAAACAAAAAAAGACCAAGAAGGCAGGAAATTGTCACTTGAACCATTTGGTTCAGAGAACAGGAAAACTGAAAGATTGAGTTTCCTCAACTGAAAGTAGAAGGTTGGGAAAACAATGGTTTGCCTGACGATGGTCTTTAACAATAATGCTAAGCAGGCATGGTCTAATTTTATTTTTTGGAACCGGGGATTGAATCCAGGAGTACTTTACCACTGAGCCCTCACTAAATTGTTGAGGCTAGTCTCAAACTTGTGATACTCCCACTTCGGTCTCCAGAGTCACTGTGCTGACCCTTCTGACAAAAAAGTTTTAAGTTTTTATTTTATTTATGTATTTATTTTTTATGATAGAACTTCAGGGTAAGGAAATGAACTACCGACTTAATATGGGCCCTGTTTCCCATATAAGGGTAAAATAGCCCGTTTGAAATTAGTAAGATCAGGCTTTTTCATCATGTTATGGCCATAGACTTTCAAGGCTATTTGGTTACAGGCTGGGAAGTACACTACAAAGGCACCACAGATAAGGAACTGAGAAAGCTCCTGAATCCTTCAGTCATCTACCATCTGTGGAAATTCAGAAAATATTGTTCTTGGAAATCAAGTGCCTTTTATCATTTTTCATACAAGTATCACTTGGAGTTGATCAACCAGGGAAAACATATGGCTGGAAGATAAAGAGACCAAAATGGATGATTGTATTACTTTTATCCAGTATTTTTAGTTTTGCTCTGCATGGCTATTAGGCTCACCTTCCCATGTTTTCTCTTGGCTCATCTTCAAGTACATGATCTCTGACCTATAACCAATCCAGATCTTAAAAGTCTTGGCCCAGATTCTGTAAGGGGGGAGGGGTGGTTCTACTGGATAAGGAATTTAGTTCAGACTATTCAAGTTAAATATGTCTTTTCATACATGCGAATGTTTTAGCCAATGGGACTTGACCTGTGGTGACCCAAATCTACAGAACAGCAGTCCTGTTATAAATGTTCTTAATCCTTGATCTGTCTTCATCTACAACCCTGACTTCCTGTTTGTAGTATGTAACCCCTGTCCTCCTGTTTTCTAGACCCATGACTTACATTATCTTTAGTACATCTCTTAGACTTCCCGCTCTGGGAGAAGTTTATTTATTCATTTGATAATTCATCCAACAGATACTATTGAATACCTACTGGTTAGTGTCACGGATGGTCAGAGCCAGTCAGAGGTAGACAAAGGACTGTGTCAATTAGTATGCTCTTTATTGCCAGTGGCAGAAATCCTGATTCAGAATGGCTTAAGCAAAAATGGAATGTATTCCCTCACATACCTGACAAGTCTACAGAGAGATCTGGTTTCCTTCAAGCACAGCTGGGTTCATGGATCTTAAATACTGCCTTTCAGACATGGCCTGTCTTCATCTCTCTGCTCTCTGCTTTGTAATGGCTTCATTTTCAAGCTCTCCACATGGTCACAAGCAAAATGTTAACAGTGCCAGGTTCACATCCTCCTGGGTTCCAGACCAATAAAAAAGGTGCTGCTCTCTCAGAAGCCCCAGCAAATGGCCTACTAAGTGTATGAGTTTCTGACTGGATTATGTACTCTTCCCTGAACTGGAGACTTTTGATGCTGTGATTGGTCAGACAGGAGTCATATGTCCTCTCATATTAGTCAGATGAGGATTCGAACACCTAAATTGGGAGCAAGGGATGTAGTGGTTCTCGTAAGAAAAAGGTGTACAGATGTGGGATGATTGAAGGAATAAATAAAGACTGTGAGTTAACAGACATTATGGCAGTCAGGTGTTTATGTTAAGTATATATGGTAGAGTTTCAAATGGTCTATCAAAGGGGGGATGGTGTTGGACTCCATATAGGATAGGCAAAGAAAGATTCACTGTTTCGTTACCCACTTGCTCTTTTCTATCCTTCACTTTTTTTTCCAGCCTATTTTGTTCTACATGCAGAGTATAGATTGTTCTAGAAATGGACCCTATCTATAAGTAGCTTACAGAGTAATGAGGAAGAGAGATGGCCAGGGCAGTGGTCCTGTATTCATTAATGTATGTCTTCAGAAATTAAAATATGAAGAAAAATTGCTTTGTTTTGTTTATTAAAATTAAAGAGACATATCCAACCTTAATGTTGTTTAACATCATCTTTATCCAGGCTGTCTCAATGAACATTTTTGTTCGATGCTTGGACTAAGTCGCTCTGGTATATTTCTTTGAATAACAAAAACTTCACAACCCACATTTTTTTAATTTAATTTGCTTTCTGCAACTCAAAGTTAAAACCTGTGCTTGATTAAAAGTGGTTTTCCTTAAGATTAGTTGGCTTTTTGTCTTTCTGATAGTGCTGAGGATCACGCAGTACATGCTAGACAAGTGTTCTACTACTGAACTACATACACATCCACCCGCCCCTTTTTTTTCAATTCTCGGTTTGTGATTCTGTGGTTTTATCGTACCTGGAACTTTCATAGTAAGGTGTCTCAAAATATGGAAACATAGAACTGAGATAAGCAAGAAAAATTATTTTTAATTTCTACTTTTACCTTAACAGTTTCTACTTTTGTTCTGTCCCAGGTTGTTGATGTGTCTCCCACCAATACCCAATCTTGTACCATCATCTCCATCAATGTATATATAGCTTGTGTATAGGGGGTCAACCAGTTGTTGAAATGAACACATATGGATATATACATTTTTAAAAAGCAGTAAATATGAAGATTTTTTGTGACATTCAAGATTCAACAAGCAGCCCTTATATTCTTATTTAACTGTAGTTTTTATTTTGTTCTGTACTATTAAAAAGAAGATTGAGAAGAGCAACACAAATAATCCAAGGATTAGGAAATACATTAATACAGTGGTTGTCAACCAGAGACATTTGGCAGTGCTTGGAGTAATTCTTGATTGTCTCGACTACTGGAATCTTGTGGACAGGGGCCAGGGATGCTGCTAAACATCCTGCGATGCACTGGACAGGCTTCACACTAAAAACAAACTACCTACATAGTCCAGAATGTCCACATTTTTAGAATTCTAAGCCTTGAAGAATTCAGAACAAGTCTGTAATTGAGACGTAAGACAAATTAGATGCAAATTAATTATAGAATCATAGAATCCTGAAACTGACAGGGAAGTTATTTTAGTTCAGTCCTACCCATCCATCCCACCCCACCTTGGTTTTTTAGATAGGATAACTGATTCACATAGGAAAAAAAGTGCCCTGAAGCAATGTAGTTTCTTCATCTCCTAAACACGTGATCAGACAACTTGCCCAATCTCTGTGTGCCTCACTTTCCTCATCTGCAAAAAAGAACTAATAAAACATGTTTCAATGATTTCCATGAGAATTAATTAAAATAGAACATGTAAAGTATTTTAGTACAGTAACTGACCATAGTGAGTTGTTTATAAATAATGCTGGTGATTGTCATTACTTCTGTTGGCCAAGGTCACAGAACTAGTTTGCTCTCTAACACTGCTCTCCCAACTGTTCTATGACTTATCTTGAAAGTCTATTAACAAAGGTTATAGCTGGGCTTAGTGGCATCTGCCTATACTCCCAGCTACTCAGGAGACTGAGGCAGAAGGCTTGCCAGTTCAATACCAGCCTGGGCAAGTTAGTAAGATACTGTCTTGAAAGGAAAGGTTGGGGGGTGGAGGAGGAAAGAAAGAAAAGAAGAAAGAAAAATCATAGGGGAAATTAAAGATATGTCTGGAAGGCAGCATTGAGTTGCTGTAATTCAAGAGAAAGGCTCTGTAAATGTTCTGCATGAAAGAAAGGGGGTTTACAGTGAAGATAGGAAGATCCCACCTAAAACTGTCTTTTCCCAAAGCTGTGTGAATAGGTTCCTCCATGGAGCCTGGACCAGATGACCTTTATTGAACTTTTATAGTTCTGACCATGTTCACAGGGAGTCAGGATGTCTGTTTCTCTGTCATTGGTCAGTCTGGGAGAACCCCTAAAATGCTGGGATGGCTAAACATTGTATCTGAAGACCCTTCCCATTGTCAGATTCTCTGATGTCTGATAAGTTTTGTGGACTATGTACTGTAAAGATCATGTGCCATTTTAGATCATGCTCAATAGGCATGTTACAGACAACCACAAACCTCCTGTTTTATGGTTTGTGACGTAAAATGCTTTATTAGGTTTTACTAATTTAGTCAACAGGAACATATAATTAAGATATTGTATAAATTATTTCCTCTGAAAATAGTAATAAATTATCTTACCAACAATTTTATGAAATAGGTTTTCTTTCATTTCCTCAAAGACATAAAAATTCTTTGCAGTTGCTCTATGGGTTGAATTTTTATTTCCCTTGTTAGATTATTCAACTATTTTTTAACCTTTGGCTTTCTATAAAAATTAGAATTCCAAAAATGTTAAAACTCTTCCATATAACAGGCATACAATAAATCCTCTCAAGGGAAAGTCTAATTCATGTGATAGCCCTCTCTTGAATATCCCATGTAGGCTGAAACCCCCAAATGATTTCACATCCTACAAAAATATCCTATGTCATAGTCACTTAAAGATGTTCTCTCCTATATCAGGATCAAGTTAATACAGGAAAGAAAACTAAATGAATCTGTTTATTATATCTGTTTTCTTTATATTTGTTTGACATTCAAGATCCATGAAGTAGAGAAGAGCAACACATGCATCTGTCCCCTGAGTGCTGAGTGAGCCCCAGGCACTGGGCTAGAAGTTAGAGGTTAAGTTATTTGCCCCAAGTCACACAGTTGGTAAGCACGAACAACAAGACGGTACATCTCCACAGGGCTCCTCAGTGCAGAGGCTTCAACACACAGTTTGCTACATCCTGGTTCTTCACAAGGAAAGACTTATTGGACTAATAAATCCCCATGAAGATCAGACTGTTCTTAATATAGAATGCATCACTTAAATTAGTCTTCTGTATTTTAATTTGACTTTCACCATTTTTTTAAGGTGTTGTGTAATGGACCAGGAACATGTATTCCTATCTGCATATCTGCCCTTCTCCTTGGAATACTAGGAGTGAAGAAAGTGATCATCGTCTATGTTGAGAGCATCTGCCGAGTAGAAACTTTATCCCTCTCTGGGAAGATTCTGTTTCATCTCTCAGATCACTTCATTGTTCAGTGGCCGACTCTTAAGGAGAAGTATCCCAAATCTGTGTATCTGGGGCGAATTGTTTGACAAATGGCAAGTTACTTTAGAATTTTGCATTTAATAATAATTACCATAAAATGTTTATGGTAAAGTCTTCTGAAAGTCCTGAGAATTATTGATGGTCATGAGTAAAAAATGTACAGATAATTCAGTGAAGAACCTGAGGCTTCTCTTATGACAGATATTAATAAACAGTACCCATCAAAAGTTTATGCCTCTATATATCAAGTAACTTTTAGATAAAAGTATGTAGTACTACCTGCAAGCTTTCTTTTGACTGTAAATAGTGGTATAAGTTTTCTGATTTATATAAAGAAAAGAAAAAGATATTTCTTATTTTTTTTTTTTCAGAAACAACAGACTTTATTTCCTGTATGGAAGCAGTGATGTCCCCAGTGAGTTGTTTCGGCATAAAGGAAGCAGTAATATTAAATTGGCTTCATGACAATTTGCACTCCACAGGCTTCCAGAACCTTGAGCATAAACCAGCATTTTTTTTTCATTCTTCAGTCTTATTTTATGAGTAGTTGGCCTCAATCCACAGTATCTTCTTAAATCTCTTTTTTAATTGTTAAAATATATTAAAATATGACCATTGTTGTAGTAATAAAAACATAATTCTACTTACCAGGAATCTAAACTCAAAACACTGTTTAAAACGTTTAAGTAGCTTTCTCCGTCATTTTGACTGTACTTAGTCCTGCTACCATCTATATTTACTATATACATTGATAATGTATGTGCTATATGCCAGATATTCTTCTAAGCACTTTTCAAATATTGTCTTACTTAAGCTAATAAAAACGTGATGAGACTACTAGAGACTAGAGACTATTATTATCCCCATTTTACAAATGACTTCTCCAGGATCACATTCCTAGTAAATGGCAAAACCAGGATTTAAGCCAAAGTAGACTGGTTTGGTCAGTTTCATAGGTATGTGGCCTGTGTAGTCACATAGGGTCCCACACTTTGGAGAGGCCTCACACTTGGTTTAATACTCTGCTATCCACTCTCTTAGATTTCTTAGAAATTTATCTTTCGTTAATTAGTTTCATTGTTATTTTGTGGTGCTGGGATAGAACCAAGGGCCTTCTGCATGGTAGGCAAGCAAGCACTGTACCACTGACCTACATCTCCAGTTCACTTAGTAATTTTTAAACATGGGACTCACAGATTAGGCTGGTCCTGCCTGAGATTTTGTGCTCCTAATGGTGCCGTGTCTTCTACAACAGAAGTTCCTCAGTAACCAGATTCTTGTCCCCTCTCTATGAGCTCTGCTCCTTTAATAAAGCAGCAAAAAATGAGAAGACCTTCACTTACAATATTTGTGTTCATATTTTTTTCCTCAAGTCTTTTTTTGTCTAAGTATGATATAAACCTAATAAAGAATTAGTCAGTGATTAATAAAGAGATTGAATTGTACTTAAAAAAGACATTATCAATCACCCAAGGTGATATAAACTTAAAATGCTGAGGTGATCTAGAATTTCTTATTCTATTAGAAAAACTTCTCTGAGTCAAGTAATGTAAGCATATCTGTCCTCAAGATTTTTTCCTAGCTTTTTAGCTGGAGAAATGTAGCAGAAGACATCTCAGAATAATGAGAACACTTTGCCACCTAGATTCAGTTGCCATGGATAAGCCAAATGGTGAGATATTGTACTTAATTTTAATCCTCAAATCTTAGATGCCGGCTCTGTTTCCACTGACCTACAGACCTGGAGTATCATACAAGAGAAAAACAGGGATTGAGACAAAATAAGCCTCTATTTTTCTAGAGAGAAAGTAATTTTTCAGTAACAACATGTGCATTTGATTCATGCTTGAATCTTCCTCTGCTCTGTGCTTTGTTCCCAAATGGCCCTATATAGATGGTTGAGGAGAGACATTAAACTGTATTCAGTTCAGTTAATGTTCAGTGCTATGGGACAGCTTCCCCAGCCCTACAGGTAATCTGACTACAGAGACTCTAGAAGCCAGAGTTTATAGTGATCAGACCAGAGAGAATCGTACAAAGGATTTTTTCCAGAAACATATACCCCAGATGTTTTGCAGACTGTTAACTCAGACAGTGGCTAGCCTGGAATGTCAGGGAAAGAATCTATGTGTTATATCACTAAAAGTTTAGAAATATTTTCCCCAGTTCAGGCTGCTGTGCATACATTCAGAGCCAACTGAGGCATGTATTAAATCTTCCTGGCTCAGTTCCAGGTTATTTGGTAAACAAGTGCATTCTCTACTCTGTGTTGTTGTTATAGCTGATTCAAGTTTTCAAGGTCACTAGTAGAGGGAGCTGGATTTAGGTTACAATAGGGGGCATAGTTTACCTGCTCTGCATTTCTGTGCCATCTCAGCTCACACTGAAGATCAGCAGTTAGCATGGAATTTCCAATTTCACTTAAAACACTGTGGGATGCAACTTTTACTGTAAGAGACTATTTATGAAAAATTAACTGAATCAGCCTTCAAATGAGAGGCAGGGAAACCGCACATCCTGCCCACACCTACTTCCCTGGAAGATTTTTATCTACAGTTCAGCTATCCAAAAAGGTCTTAGCAGATTGCCAGGTCAGAAGGTCCAGTTATTTCAAATAGGATGCCCTAAAGTCATGACAGGAAGCTTTAGCCTGGAACGAAGAGTGCTGTGAAACCATGTCAACAAGAGAAATGTGGTACAATTACAAATTGAATAGCAAGAGGTCTTGTTAGAAGGGGGATGACCCAGGCTTCCCCTCATAAAGACAACTTGAAACACATTGTTTATTTTACTTTCCGAAAGTTATATGATAGGTTAAATTGGCACACATGCCTCCTTACTGTGTGTGGTTCCTTATACCAAATCAGTGCTTTATTTTTCAGAAAATCTCTATCCCCTAAAAGGCATTTGAAGGCAGTGTATATTAAGAATCTCTTACCACTGAAAAGAACAATGTCATAAGCGTTCAAGAAAATTGTCCTTCTCCATGCAGGTCAGTGTTTGGGATGTTGAGGGGTTTCTTCCCATGATTTCAGCCTTAACACAATGGGCAGACACCCAAATCTGAACTTTCTTCTATTCAGAACATCACTCCACTCTAGCACTCTAAAAACAAATATCTGCAATTGTGTCCTTGTTGCCAACTCATTTTAAACATGGATTTGACAAAACTCCTCCTTTTCCCTCCGGAATAGTTAACTGGTATCAGCTCGCTAACCTCTGTCATATCCCTCAGATAACAAACTTTGGAATCATTTTATTTTCTCAGTCTTTCCTTAATCCAGCAGTTTCCCTTGTCTTTTCTTCCTTTGGGATTACCTTTACTTTTCCTCCCTTGTCTGATTGCCTTGTTGATTCTGTCATTAACCTAGTCATTAACCTAGTGCATATCTACCCTTTCCTTTTCAGTCCTGGTCATAGCTTAAGCCAGATACACACAAATTCCTTACTTGATTAACACTTTATTAAGGAATTGAGAGAGGTTTAACATTATGTAATAGAATACTAGACACTATATAAATAGTAAACATTGTATAATTAGAAAGTAGCAGAGCTGAAATTTGAACCAAGATACTCTAGCTTCAGCCAGACTCCTCTTAACAGCTATGTTAGGATTTAGGGGAGAAAAAAAAAAGTGCTAGGAATGAAATAAGCACATTGCCATGTTGGAATGTAAGGTGTTCAGATAGGGTTATCAGGAGAGGCTTTGTGTTAGACTTTCGTCACTGTGACAAAATATCTGAGAAAATCAGCTTAGAGGAGGAAAGATTTATTTTCAATCACAGTTTCAGGGGTTTAATTCTATGGTGACACACATCATCTCACTGTTTAGTCGGTTAGAACTTCAGGGGCAGTTTTCTGCTCATAAGGCTGAAATCAAGTTGACTGCCAGGGCTGAGTTCTGATATGGAACTCTGAATCCTCTTTCAAACTTATTTGAGTGGTTATAGGCAAAATATCACTTCCTTGCCAGTTTAAGACTAACAGTGACCTAGTTTTTGAAGGCCAACCAGAGCGTTTCTGTCGCCACTTGACCTCTTTAAGGATTCACATGATAGGTGCAGCATAGCATAACTTCCCTTTTGATTAACTCAATTAACTGATAAGACCATCACTGCCTCCCTTTTGCCACATTAAGAGAATGTAGGGAGCATATATCCCTGATATTCATAAATCACATCCACACGTAAGGATAGAGGCTTATACAAAGCCACTAGTAGTTGGGATGCTGAAAGCCATACTAAACTTCTGCCAAGCACAATTTGCCAGAAACGTTTTGTTTGTTTCAGGGGAAGAAGATATTTTTAACCTCATTTGAACCATCAAACTCCTGCTTTCATATCCAAGTTCTCTGATTGTTTTTTAATATGGGAAATTCATGTCTCCCAAACTCCATCCCATTTTCTATCAAGTTACTTAACCTTTCTATAGAATAAGCAAAATAATGGTAACTACTTTAGAGTTGTTATTGTGAACATTCTACTAGATGATCCATGTACTTCTTTAGCACAGACCCTGCTGCATAGTGAGCGCTCCATGGGCTCATATCCTAAATATGTAAATGGCCTAAAGAAAGGCTCTTCTTAAATTAATCACAGGACCACTCTTACCCTTAAGGACAGTAATAATCAAAAAAAGCAGAAAAATTTATTGCCAAGGGTGTAGAGAAATTAGAATCCTCATACATCGCTGGTAGGAATATGGAATGGTACAATAGCTGTAGAAAAGAGTTTGGCCATTCTTCAAAAACTCAAAGTTACCATTTGACCCTACAATTTCATCCATAAGTACATGACCCAGGGAACTGAAAAACATAGTCAAACAAAAACTTGCACACAAATGTTTATAGCAGCCTGATATATAATATAAAAAAATAGAAACAACCCAAATGTCCACCATCTAATGAATGGATAAACAAACTATACCAGGTATATTTATAAAGTAGAATACTAATCACAAAAATGGATGAAATTCTGATGCATACTTTACAATATAGATGTATACAATACACTATGCTAAGTAAAAAACAGCCAGCCACAAAGACTACGCCGTATTGAATGATTTCATTCATTTAAAATGTCCAAAGTAGGCAAATCCAGAGCCAGAAGTAGATTAGTGGTTGCCAGGGTCAGTGGAAGGAGGCATGGAAAATTAACTCCTAACAGGTAAGGGGTTTCTTTTGAGGATGATGACAATGGTCTAGAGTTAGATGATAGTGATGATTGTACAACTCTATGAATATACTAAAAACCACTGTACTGTGAATTTTATAATATGTGAATTACATCTCAAAGAAAACTTATCAGTAGTGATCTGTTCATACATATTTGTGAATGTTTATATAGATGAACAAAGATGAAACAAAAACCAACACAGTGGCCAGGAAGCCGCTTTCAGGATTGTTTATATTGATTGTGATTTCCATCTTTATCCATGGCCAGCGACAAAACAAAGACTGGGGATGTGATCAAGACAAAGAATGGCTCTTTCGGAAGGGCTGAGTAAGAATGGATGAAAAGCACCTAGTAAAGGCCCAGAAGACAATGACTTAACATGAAATAGCCCTCTCCACCACCTTGCTAAATACACTTCATTAAAAACCCTTTTGCTCCTCTGAGCCGATATGACTGAGGTGAACTGTATTTTTAGGGTCAGCCTTCCACATACTTTTCTGCAATCAGAACCTGGCCACTTTCCCATTAAGAGGTGAGCGTGATTCCTCTCCCCTCAGTTTGCTCTGACTTTACCTAAATCTGAACTTGTTTGGCCACTAGAATACAGGTGAAATGACATTCTGACTTGGTGTCTTGCCATGCTGGCTGTCTGGAGGGATGTTT